GGGGTACGAAGTGGCAATTCGGAGGAGTAAGTTCTGGTGTTCAACTGTACAGGAGGGTGACAATGGTTAACGGTAAGGTATTGCATATTACAAAATAGTTAGAAGACAGGCTTTTGGATGTTCTCACCACAAATGATAAACGCTTAAGATGACATATATGCTAACTACCCTGATGCGATCATTACAAAATATATATACATAAAAACATCAAATTGTACCCCACAAATACAAATACAAGGTGTCATTTTTTTTTTAAAGTCATGATGTTATCCTGCTCCACTGAAAACCATTGCCCTACCTGAGGAGCCCAGACAGGCGCAGCCAGAGGCGGAGGAGGCAACAAAACAAGTATTGTTCATCTTTTTAAAAATATTTTTTAACTGGCAAAAATTAGATGTATTTGCGTACAACATGTTTTGAAATATGTTTGCATTGTGAAATGGATAAATCAAGCTAATTAACACATGCATTTCTTCATATACTTATCTTTGTGGTGAGAAAACCTAAAATCTCCTCTCAGCAATTTTCAAGAATATATCATTATTAGCTATTGTCAATATTGTACAATAGAGCTCTTCAACTTACTTCTCCTGTCTCACTGAAATTTTGCATTCCTTGACATTTTCTGAGTTCCCACTCCCAGACCTTGGTAGCTATCATTCTACTGTTTCTAAGAGTTGAGTTTTGTTTTTTTTGTTTTTTTTTTTTTTAGACGGAGTTTCACTCATGTTACCCAGGCTGGAGTGCAATGGCGCGATCTCGGCTCACCGCAACCTCCGCCTCCTGGGTTCAGGCAATTCTCCTGCCTCAGCCTCCTGAGTAGCTGGGATTACAGGCATGCACCACCATACCCAGCTAATTTTTTGTATTTTTAGTAGAGACGGGGTTTCACCATGTTGACCAGGATGGTCTCGATCTCTTGACCTCGTGATCCACCCGCCTCGGCCTCCCAAAGTGCTGGGATTACAGGCTTGAGCCACCGCGCCTGGCCAAGAGTTCAGCTTTTTAGATTCCACATGTAAGTGAGACCAAATGTACACCTTTGTCTTAAAAGAGAGAGTGCTGGCTACCATTCTGGGTAAGAAGAAAAATGCTGGCCAGGTGTAGTAGCTCATGCCTGTAATCCCAGCACTGTGGGAGGCCAAGGTGGGAGGATCGCTTGAGCTCACAAGTTCAAGACCCAGTCTGGGAAACATGGCAAAACCCCAGATCTATTCGAAAATAAAAGAAGAAAGATAAAGAAAAATGCCTCAGTCAGCGAGAAACAAACCAAAAGTCACTTTTTTGCTTTCTTACCGTAGCTAAACTAAACTAAATTTAAACAAGCCACCCTGTTATCTATAATGAAACAGATTTTTATTCCGTATGCTCTTTCACCAGGTTGGTCACCTTTTTCCTTTTTCTTGTGCAGTGTCATATTAAGAACTCCAGCCAGTAGGCTTCTTCTGAGACTATTCCGAGGTAAGCCATGATTGCTGTTTCCGTGATTTCTCTAAGAAGCAGGACTGAGCTCACTGAATTTTCCCACAGTCATCACAAAACACTAATACCAAAAATGCCCACATTTCATTAAACATGACAGCTCCTTCCTGCCCCCATGGCTCAGTGGAACACTCCAAGGCTTAAAAGGAAGCATGTCCCTCCTTGCAATTGCCTAGTCTGAGATCTAAGATAGGGCTCTTGGCTTTGTGGAAATTTACGTCATTCCAGAGAAGTCGACATGACTTCCATCAATTTAAAAGATGCAGCTGATTAATTTCAGGCATGCTGCAGCTTTTTTTAATGCCAAACACTAAGCATTCAATACAGCCTGACAAACCAAACTGCATGATAAGAGCTTGCTGGAGCTAATAAATGTAGTTAATCTTAGGGGGGAAAAGCCTATGGCAATTTCTCCTACATTACCTCTTTCACAAAGGGAAGTATATTTTCTTCTCTTGGCCATTACAGAGTGAGGATTCCTTAGGTATCATCCCTCTCACTCTTCCAACTCTCTAAGGTTTTCTCTAATGATTTATTTACAAGAAAATGCCATTGCTGTCTGAAGTTACTATGGAGCCACTCACTCCTAGCAATCAGATTCTACTTCTCTCCACCTAAATGAAACTGCTTTTTCTAAGTCTAGAGGACACTTAAGGCCTACCGGTGGCTAAATACAAGAGTTCATCCCATTAAAAAGAAAAAATACCCACTCTACCCACCCTCTCCACCAGCTGCCCTATCTTTCTTTCCTCCTCTTCACAGCTCATCTTCTTAAAGGAGCTGTTGCTGCCATTCCCTCACTGCTCAACCCATCGAGCCCCCACCCTCTTCGACCTAGCTTCAGGGTCAATGTCCCAATTAAACAGTTCTCACTAAGGTGCCCAGTCATAAATGGTGCTGGGTCCCATCGGGTCTGACCTTCCCTCCTAAGCTGGGAGCAGAAAATATATATTTTTTTTCCTTTCGAGACGGAGTCTTACTCTGTTGCCTAGGCTGGAATGCAGTGGCCCCATCTCGGCTCACTGCAGCTTTCGCCTCCTGGGTTCAAGTGATCCTCATGCCTCAGCCTCCTAAGTAGACAGGATTATGGGCATGTGTCACCACACCCGGCTCATTTTTGTATTTTTAGTAGAGGTGAGATTTTTTTCAAATTGCCCAGGGTGGTCTTGAACTCATGGCTTCAAGTGATCTGCCCACCTTGGCCTCACTAAGTGCTAAGATTACAGGCATGAGTCAGTGTGCCTGGCTTAAAGTACCCACTTTCTAAAGACAGCTGCAGATAAGGAGCTGAGATCCACCCCATTCTGGGATTACTGAGAAATGGAGAACTGACTCTGCTCCCAGCCACCATCTTCACCACCCCTACCCTTTACTCCCAAGCTGGGAAGAGGAAAGAGGAAGAGGCTCCTTGGAATTAAGTTGCTTGCTTACTGGGGCGTGCTACCACGTGATGGGAGAGGAAGAGACCTACTCCCAGAGGCAAGAGATGCCTGCAAAACCAACCTCTCATTCCCCAGTTGGACAAGAGATAAACCCACTGATTTGCTCTGCCCCCTACCCGAGTGAGGGAAAGGAAATACAGAAGATGGCAGGGTAGAGAGAAGCCTTACTGGCCCAGTTCTGCTCGCTTCACAGAACACTGGTTAAGGTGACCAGGCGGCACATCTTCCAGCACCTCCCCCAAAAGGGTCTCCTGCCAGGGCAACGGGATCCCAGCTCCAGTCACATTAGAGCCACTTGACCACTCCCTCTCCTTCCCCAGACTCAACATAGGAGGAATGGTTGGAGTCTAAAAGAAGGAAAGAGAGGAGGGATCCCTGAGGCAGATCACCGTTTACTTCGACTACAAGGCTGGCAAGGGAAGCTTCAAATCAAATGTCTGCTTTTGCAAGTGACAGCATTCCCAGACATATTCAAGTAAGTGGCACATGGTAGGCTTAATAGTTATTTGCTCAATAAGTGACTGTACAGCTTCTTCTCAACCCGCCTCACCCTCCTTGTCCTTTCTGTCTCATCTCATTCATTCCCCCCTAGCACTAATGTTTTTTGAAGGTTGATCCTATACAGGTTTCTGAATGTAATCGTTGATATGTGACGAAGACATGATCCCTGACCTCAGGAAATTTACTGGAGAAGATAAGAAGAGTACAAACTTGCATCCACTACAAGGCATTAAGGAAACATTACAATGGGAGTTGTACAAAGCACCAAAGACATCGAATAAAAAACTCAAACTACTCCCTGAAGTATTAATAAATCCAGATAGATTCTTTTGATCAGTTCAGCTATGGAATGCTCATGACTTCTTTTCCCATGACTGCCAGTCCTTTGTCCATCCTGCTAAAATGCATTTACCCTTGCTTCGTCAAGAATAGCAGTTCACACACTAGTATCTCTGCCTGGATCCTGGAGAAAGCCAGGATCATCCATAATCCTTGAGTCTGGGGGAGGCCAAGGAGGTTTCACTGTGTAGCCTTGGATGAGGCTTGGAAAAGAGGACAAAGTGGACAAGGTATGCATGGCCTCACTCAGAACACCACCACATCCAGTGCAGAAGACATGTGTTTTTTTGGGGAGATAAAGGTGATGTCAGTGATGTGCACTTCCTCTCAAAGAGCATCTTAGCAATAGGGAGATGGCCATGCATTGCAGAAAACAGAAGTACCATAACACTCACCCAAAAATCACAGTCTACAGACTGCTCATTATCAGGCTACTAGAATTAACTAGCATTTAGAGATACATACTTTCAGAAAGCAAATCACTCTACATAATTTCTGGTTTCCTTGTCTTCTTTAGCTTGCAGTCTTTTAGCAACCATTCCTGCTTCCCTAAATATTTCTGACAAGCATTTTTAATGATCATTATTCATCATTATTAGAGTAATACATGCTCAATATTAATACATTTAGAAAACACAGCAAAGTTGATAGCAAAAAAAATCATGCAGATTCTTAAAAATATGATTAATATGCTGACATATTTCCATTTAACCTTTGTTTAATAGCTACTTGAAATTAATATGTCCCATAAGCCAACTCTGGCAAAAATCACCAATAAACAAGGATATGAACTGCCATCACTAATCTCTTTTGATTATGAACAAGGTTGTATCTTCACAACTATAAAGCAACTGGAAGATTTCACTTAAAAACATTAAATTCAGTGGAGGGAAAATTGGTTAAAGGGGCTATTTAATGTCTGAATAGAAGCTGGCACTCCTAATTTTTCAATTAGTGTTTCCAGCACCCTAGGAGTTGGAATTACACTTGTCCAAGATCTCGGGTAACTATCACTTTAGAAATAAACCTCTTTACGCATCGATTTCTTTAATTGTTTAATCATGTGTGCTTCTGGGAGATGCAGAAAACCGTAGTGTTAGCAATGTTTTCTTGACAAGTATTTATATACAAGTGCCATTATTTATCAAGATATTTAACAAGAATTTATCTTCCATTTCCACCTCTCATAATAGCTATGCTATTCAATGTTATCTAAATCAAAAATTATTGGCTTACCTGATCAAGAAATTATGCAGGCCAACATCAAAATACCTGTTCAAAGGAGACACAGACAAGCATATCAATAAAAGGCATTTTTATTAATGTTGGTCTAGACATGGACTATAGATTTACAATTTAGATTCACAGCATGACTAAGAAACGGATTACTCTACCACAGTCGTTCTCAAGACACGGCCGCTGGGGCAGCAGCATTCCTGGAAACTGGTTGGAATTGCAGCTTCTCAGGTGCCACCTCAGACATACCAATTCAGAAATTCTGGGGATAGAGCCCAGCAATTAAACTTAACAAGCCCTCCAGGAGAGAATAGCGCAGAAACACTGCTCTCTGGTAGCATAACTGTCTCAGCAAGTAGAAGCTCTCTCTAAAAATAAAGGCCATGACAGTGGATCTCCCAAGTACCTTCCACTTTTCCAATAGGTGAGCCCTTTTGTAATATTCATGTCTCAGATGTTCACTTACTTAAAACATATAAATATATATTTATGTATATTTAAAATATATTTATATGTCTGTGTAGTCACATACACACATTTTTTTTTTGAGACAAAGTCTTGCTTTGTCACCCAGGCTGAAGTGCAGCAGTGCCACCACACTGCAGCCGCAACCTCCTGGGTTAAACCAATCCTCCCACCTCAGTCCCCAGAGCAGCTGTGACTACAGGTGTGTAGCACCATGCCTGGCTTTCAGTTTTTTAGTAGAGATATGATCTATGTTGCCCAGGGTGGACTCAAACTCCCAGGTTCAAGCAGTCCTCCTACCTCAGCCACCCAAAGCACTGGGATTACAGGTGTGAGTAACCGCACTCAGCCCAAAATACAGGTATTGATCGACTTACGACTTATGCAACTTATGACCATTCAACTTTACGACCACAATCGCTAGCCACGACTGCTCCGTGTCTGGCAGTGCAAAGGTTGCCCAGCTGGACGTACGACAGTGCGGACCAGCTTCCAGCAGCGCTACCATCTCCGTGTGCATATAGCCTACTCAACTTACGACCAAATCGTGTTACGACCGGTCTGTTGGAACCAATTGTGGTCGTAAGTCGAGCACTAGCTTTATGTTTTACAAACACAACAGTACACTAGCCAAAGGGAAGAAGGCAAGGGAGGGTGGTGCGGAAAGGCTGGTGTGGCAGTGAGTGGAGTGTCAACCTTGGCCTTCCAAGCCCCACCTAGCTCTAGTCCCCAGAGCTTTCCACCTGAGAGAACAACCCTGTCCCATCTCTGGGTCTCCGCTGAGCAGGGGACTGGAAGAGCTGCAGTTCCATGTACTAGCTGGGGAGCCTGCCATTGTGCTTGGCATGGCATCCCATAAATGCTGGGCTATAGCAGACCCTTTGTGTCACAGTCTTTTCTTTACACCACCAAACTGGCGCAGTCCATATAAATGATGCTGCCTTGGTTTCTCTAACTAGCATGCTTGTTCCTCATGAACCTCTGATTATGTAGCCAGTGCCCTTCTCTCCCTTTGGACTGGACCATGAGTAAAAAGACCAGGTGGCCAGAATCACGATGATATAGTCCCCTGGGCAGAATCACTGCTCCCAACACCTAAAGGGCGGTGCTTGCATCCCACCCACCAGTCTCACCTCTTGGTTTGGCAAATGGACTGAGTAGAGCCTGAGTTAATTCTGTCCCTTTCTGACAAGGGGTAATGAACACAGGAATTCACTCTTGGGGGTCTGCCTATCCAGACCCTGCCTGTCCCTAGCTTCCAGCTCTACCCAACTCATTCCTGGAGCATCCTATTATACCTGGTACCTCATGCCACCTGACATTTGACAGGTGATTACTAACATTTTAATAGGATTCCCTGTGGGATACTTTTAAATGACAAGATTCTTTTATGTACTTAAGTATCTGTTTACAGACCATGGACACAGTGTAGGTGAGAATAAAGAAACTCAAAGCCAAAACATGACAGACCTCATTTACTATATCACTGACCTAAAGTAATTACATAATTCAGGAAAAACAGGATTAGAGATACAAAAAATTAATTTATTCATAAGTCTTCTGTACAGTGCTCTTCTCTAAAGAGAGATCTACCTGCAGGGAGAGCTGATGTGTTTCGTTTGATTTTACACTAACATGGATAAGATGTTAAGTTCTGCCTAAAATTATATTTAACACAGATTTTAAAAAAATAGATACTATCCCTCCTCTCAACCAAAACCAAGGCTACTTGGCTTAGCGCCATAAATAAATATCCACACCACAATAGCAATTTTAAGGTTGCCAGATCTATAATATGAGACGTAGAAGTCTATGTAGATTAAAACAAAGATTTCAGCTTCCTTCACTCATCCAAAGCTTGTTGAGCCTTTTCAATTACACTAGCAACAGAAAGCAATAGACTCTATTCCAGGAATCACAGGACAAAGCAGACATGGAAGAAATCACAGAGATCCGCAGTATAGTGGTGGGGCAGGAGGAAGGCACTGAAACAGTAATGGAAAAACCTAATAATAATGAGAAATTGATTTATTGTTGAGAATGTGGCAAGTACCACGTTTGGCGCTCACACATACGTGCCGGCGAGGCAGGTATTGGTATCCCAGAGTTCACGGCCAGTAGAAGACAAAGCTACAAAGCTGGAAATCAAATTGAACCCTAAAATACATGAATTACTTGCTATTCCCATGTACCCCACTAAAACCAGGTTTCTCACTGTCTTGCATTACTAACTGAAAATGATTGTTCATGTTAAAAGCTGATGTCTTCCCGCTTCCATCTCATTTCTGCATCTCCCAACAAGGCTGTCCTGCTCCAGGGAAGCCCACCTGCTTCTTCTCCTTAGGTGCCGTCCACCTTCTTGGTCTTAGCCAGCCAGGCTCTGGAGAGTGATGTAAGTTCACACAAGCGGAATCATATAGTTTTTGTCCTTTTGTGTCTGGATGGCTATTGGTTTCAAAAAATAAGGTTAACCCAACTCATACCAACACCACCATTCTCATTCAACCTGGCCATGGCCTCCAGGGAATGATGTGGTAGTGAATTCATTTCTTTCCATTGCCAGGTGCCCTTCCTCATAGAAAGGGTGGCCAGCCAACCAATTCCCCCTCCCATCTCCTCCCCTACTTGTAATATGAGGCCTGGCTAAGAATACTAAGCTTTAGTACACCACCTACTGAATATTTTAAAACTAAATATATTCAAAACCATCTTTGCATTATAAAATATAACAATCTCTGAAAGGCAAAAGTTATCTTTCTTATTCAACCAATAGCCAGGAAATTATCCATTCTTACGGCCCTTAAAGATTCCACTGCAAAAGCACATCTTAGGGCTTTGAAAATACTTCCCAATGGCAATCCTGTGTAGACACCCAATGCATGAAAGCACAATTGCATCTAAGAACTAATTCTAGCTCCAGAGGTGGGTCAAAGAGCAGGCTTTTTAAAAATCACCTTTAAATATAAAAGCCTTTGCAATGGCTACAAGATATGGGCAGAACATACACAAGCTTTAACTTAATGCTGCCTCTCACCTTCCTTGGATCATGTGAGAAAAAAGGTGAGGCTAAGGGAGAGTAAAGGGTTATAGTTTTTCACCACACAGGCACAGAACAGTACACACAGAGTGGAGAAGGGAGGGTGTTAACAGTAAAAGCCAGCATATACATGGTGCCTAGCTCGTGCCAGGCACTTTTCTATTCTACACACATATACACAACTATTTCTGCAATAATGCTATGAGGTAAATAGATACTATTATCACCCATATGCAGAGGAAGAAATGGAATCATAGAGAGGTTAAGTGACTGCTAGTTAGGGGTAAAGCTAACACCTGAGCCCAGATAGTCTCCATTAGCCAGAAGACCCCCCCCCAACCCCAACCAGGGAACAGTACCTTGGTTTTGAGGCATAAATGTTAGGAATACATCAAGGTTAACTTCCAGAGTTTGGTTATTCAGGCTGAGTATCCCAAATCCAAAAATCTAAAATCTGAAATGCTCCAAAATCTAAAACTTTTTGAGCATCAATGAGACACTCATAAAAATGCTCATGGGAGCACGTTCAGATTTTGGATTTTTAAATTTGAGCTGCTAAACTAGCGTAAATGCAGATATTCCAAAATCTACAGAGCCCAAAATCTACAACACTTATTCCTGGTCCCAAGCATTTCAAGTAAGGGATATTCAAATCTGCATATTGCAGTTATTCAGCTGGTGCAAAAGTAATTGCATGTGGTCTTTGCCATTAAAATAATGACAAAAACCACAGTTACTTTTCCACTAACCTATTACACAGTAAGATGTCCTTAGAAGCATACAACGAAGTATTCAGGGTGACGATAAATCATACCCAGTACCTCATCTCAAATAATTCAGGTGGAAAAATTTACACGTACTGTAACGTTTCTCCTAACATTTCTGTGAGTTTAAGATTTCAACATTTAAAACATGAAAGATAAAACGGTAAGCACACTCCTTGCTACAGAAAAACAAGTTCATATTTTTTGTACATATAGAGAAATTAACAATGTATCCTAAAATCGGAATCTAATTTCTGTAACTCTGATTAGTTTTTCTTTATATATTTTGTTTTTGAGCTGTGAATGAGTGAGCATATATGAAATGAAAATTGAGACTACATGATAAAACCAACGGTAGCAGGCCAGGTGCGGTGGCTCATGCCTGTAATCCTTGCACTTTGGGAAGCCAAGGCGGGCAGATCACGTGAGGTCAAGAGTTTGAGGCCAGACTGGCCAACATGGTGAAACCTTGTCTCTACTAAAAATACAAAAAAAAAAAAAATTAGCTGGGCATGGTGGCGCATGCCTGTAGTTCCAGCTACTCAGGGAGGCTGAGGCAGGAGAATCAGCTCAACTCAGGAGGCAGAGGTTGCAATGAGCCAAGATTGTGCCACTGCACTCCAACCTGGGCAACAGATGGAGGGTCAATCTCAAAAAAAAAAAAAAAAACCAGTGATAGCCACCTTACTGGCTGGAGAATGAAGTGGTCCATAATACTGCTCTTCATAAGAGCCATTATCTTAATCTTACCAATTTCACTACCTATAAGT